GATTTAGTATTACATGAATGTATAACAGCTTTTTTAATAAATAAAATGTTAAAGAAAATACAATACAGTGCCTTTGACAGCAATGTAAGAACATTTTTTTAAAGAGAGAGTGAGAGAGGAGAGAGAGAGAGAGAGAATTTTTTAATATTTATTTATTTATTTTTTTTAGCTTTTGGCGGACACAACATCTTTGTATGTGGTGCTGAGGATCGAACCCGGGCCGCACGCATGCCAGGCGAGCGTGCTACCACTTGAGCCACATCCCCAGCCCCAAGAACATTTTTTCTTTGTGTAATTATGTGCGTTTCCTTGGTTCTTATAAGGTAAAACAAATATCTAGGAAGCTTGTTAACCTGATTTAATTCAACCTGCATGCTTGGGTCAAACTAATCTTAAGAAGCACAGCTTTCATCATATCATTCCCCTTCTAAAAAAAAATCTACCTAACTGTACTGTGAGCAAACTACATCACACCGTCTTTATTTGACCTTGAAGACTTTTCTAAAGTATGTCCTCAACCAACCTTCCCACACTGCTCTGAAATTTTAACTCTCAGTTTTTCTGTAAGTGGCCCATAGATACACCTGATTCTTTACTGCCTCCCTGTCTTTACTCCTAGTGTGATCTCCACTGGGAATGTCTCCCTCCATTTGAATCACATACATCTTTTAAGGTACCAAACAACTCAAGTCCTACCATTTCCTTGAAGTCCTACCCTAAGCCACATCTCACTTCTTCCAATTATAATAAGAACTTCTCTCTATCACATTAAGTGTAAGTTATAAATAGATTTTGAAATTTTCTCAATTAATTTTGAAAAAAATTAAGAACACCTATTTTATTGAGCACTAGAACAGAATTGAATAATAACTGATATCAATGTCAACACATCTCTCTCATATACACACACATGCAGTGTCCCTAGCCCCCAAACCTCTAGAATTATAAAACTCAGTAGGGTTTCAAAGGTTGTGTATCCTAAAAAAAAACAACTAGACATCTCTATTTTACAATTTTCTGTATTGTCTACAATATAACATAACATATAATTTTATGAAGTTATATATTTTTCTGGTTTTCTTATGAATGTATATCTGATCTAGCTAACTAATTTGCTCCTTATAGAGTAACTTATTGTGGTACCTAATCCAAAACTAAACAGGTATGATTTATGTTTGATTTATCAATTGGCATCATTCTTCTTGATGTTTAAGTGTGCCATGACTTATAGTTAACCCTTTACTTAGAACTCATATCATATATGTTTGTGTCATTTACTTTCCAGAATCTCTCATACTTATTGGTTTCATTCCCAATACCCTTTCTGTGTGCCCTATGCTGAAAAAAAAACAAAAAAAGAATATTCTCTTTTGAATAAAATTGGTTAGCATAGTGCCACGAATGAAAAAATAAGGGAATATGATTTTGTTCTAAACACAAGATTATAATTTAAGCATATAGTTATAGACCTTAATAAGTTATTAACTTATATTTTAATCTATGAAAGAATACCTGCTATTTATAAAGTAAAACCATTTTTAATAATAATAATAATACCTCCCATAACTATTTCCAAGTGTGGTTCGCAAAACACCTCTATTAAAAGCACTTGGGCCCATCATTAAACATGCATATTTGCTCTATCCACAAATCAGTATTTCTGAGGGTGGAATTCAAGAACCTGCAGTTACAATAAGAAATTGACTACCTTATGTTATACATAATTTCATGCTTTTTTATTTTACAAAATATATCTTAAATTTGCACTTCACAATATCTTTTAGAGGAGGTATGTGAGCTTCACTTTCAGATGCACTTCTCTGGAACACGGTAAACTATGTAATATGTACAAGATCACAGAGTACAGTGCCAGGCATTCATTTACTCATTCACTCAACATACATTTATTGAATGTTTACTAAGGCTCTATTCTAAGCACAGAGACATAAGTGACCCAAGCAAAGACCATGGTCTTTCTTAAAGGCTCATATTCTACTGAGACCCATTTGGGCAACATTATACAGGTGTGAACTGGAGCTGGGCCCCAGCCTCTTAGTTGAGTCACTGTACCAATGGCCTGTTCACTAAAGTGTAACATATATCAAGCAGCATGCACAAACAAAATACAAATACAATAAACCAAGATTCATTCTGTAGACATCATGGAGAGTGGAAAGAATACAGGCCAGATTTTGAACATCTGAACACTCTGAACAAGTTATTTAAACCTCTAAGCTTCAGTTAACAGAATGTACCTATACCTACCTGGAAGGAGCAACGTGAAGGCTGAAGAGATAACAACAAGTAAAACATCTAGCAAAGACCTAGACAGAGTAGGTACACAAAATTGGTTCTCTTTTTCTCCACAATCAAATCAGAATCTTGTCTGACAATACCATAACAAACCTAAAAAGCTAGATTTTAGACTGAGTGGAGGTCAACTGTACCCAGTTTGACTTAAATCCCATCATAAAACTGCTTTCATAAATTTTATCCCATACTATACATTTGGGTATGCTTCCTGTGGGATAAAAATGGCATATTACTCACTAGGGAAAAAAACACATTTTGAATTTTTCCATTAGAGTACTAGGCTATGCTTGGAACATCACTCAATTTCCAGGGAGAAATACATGCGATAACCTCTAAAAAAATTATTCATAATAATGTACCTTCTCTTCTCATCAAACTAATGTAATATCTATAAACAATAAATACAGCCACACTACTCCTTCCCTCTTCAATCTTGTTTTGCACCCTTTGTTGCTAGTTCACAATAATCCAATAATACTTGCCTTCTTTTGATTCCTCAAACCTATCAGACTCTCTGGAATGGAGGGAGGCATCATGCATGGTTTTGCCAAATTGGGTTCCCCCTGAAACTTCAAGTCTTCAGAGAAACCTTCCCTGACTGACCATCCTGTAAAGATGAGGCTCCACTGTGAAGGGTGATGTGGCAAATTCTCCTAACAATAGAGCAACCTGGATTGGTTCCAATCAATCATCTGACAGCATGAAGTTATGCTGCAGCACAGATATACAGCTGTGCAGTTTGATAAGTGTTCACACACAACATGATACAATCCTGTGTGAGCATAAGCTAGCAAGCAAAATTATCCAGGGCTTCATAAGTGAACCCACCTATGAAGCTGCTGCTGAGAGGTTTAGGGAACTAACATATATTGCTGATAAGACAACAGAAAACAGCTTTCTTAAGAACTCCCAGTATGACCTGATTTCTTTAATCTGCTTTTATTTTTTGCTGTCCAACCACATTTTGTGAAGATACTTAGAAGTATGATAATGGTCTGAGGTATAATATTATAAATGCTAATAGCCCCCTGTATTCTTCTTCAGCACTCCTTTTATTGGTATGCAATGGGTATCTTCTGCTAATGCTTGTTCCCACTTGATAGTTCCAGGAGGACAAGAACTGCGCCTATCCTGCAGTGTGCTTAATCCCAGTGCCTTCCTCAGTCCTTGGAATACATGCAGTAACTTTTCACTGGTCCAATGAATGACCTAAAGAGTGAGAACTGTATCTAGGTGAAAGAGATACAGTACAGGGGAATTAAGTTTGCTTAATTTAATATACTTAAAAGTATATAAAACAATGTTTAAAGACACCATAGTAAGTGCTCAATAAATGTTATTATTTGCTTAGCTAGAACAAAAATTACCCAAGTATGGTACCAAAGAAAAGGAAAGTTGTTGTTGACTGGTAAATTATAAGGCTGAGGACACACTGTATAGTTATCCCTTTCAGAAACAGTATGGTGTAGTATAGGAACCATGGAAAGGATAATGAAAGTCCTTCACTTCAGCAGTCTTTCATTCATTTTAGCACTTTTATAATTTTAAAAGACCCAGATGTTTTCACATATTCCCAATTGAATTCAGTGTCCTTAAAATCAGCACTCATTATTGTGCATGCTTGACCATATAAGAGACTATGGGATAAAATAAAGAGAAATATGTTCATGCTCCATTCTCTAAATAAGTAGAAAGAAACTCGTACTCTGAATATTTTAAGAAAAAGCCACACATTTTTTTCTGTGACTTATAAAAATGAAACAACAGAGGATGAAAGCAAAAAAGAACTTATATCTTAAGACATTAAAATCCCACAGGTGTTCTGAACTAAAAAGAAATAAAGACTGCAAAAGAGTTGAAGTCATTCCCCTTGGTTATCCCAACACTGCAGCACTATTTCCTAAAGAATTGACTGAATAAAGTGATTCAGGGAAAGAATACCTGCTAGAACAAGATTTGTAAGCCTACAAATTCAGTTTGTTTTGAAATGCATGCCTTTCAGTAATTTTATTTATTAGACTTCAATATTCTTTTTTTTCTCTCACTTTAATGCTATTCATATTGTTTACCCCCAGACTCCATCTTTTAAAATCTAACCAACCACATTTTGTCCCTTTATATACTCCTTAGGAACTTACCAAGCAAATACTGGTGGCAAGAGATTGTCATAAAATGAAATAATTCTTTCACTGTCAAACTCTAACACATAAGACAAATCAGATTCGACTAAGCCTGAGGATTTAGGTAACAAATCTTCAAATACACAGTTACTTATAATATTCCAAAAGAAAAAAGAAACCCTCTGCTATGTACACATATTAAAAACCCTCTGCTATGTACACTCTGGCAAAAGTGAACATCTATGGTCTAATAAGCCATTCTACTTTACAAAGGAAATATTCCTAAATCACACAAAGGTTATTAAGTTTGGATAATATGATAAATGTGGGAAATGTGTTCACTACCTGATTTATTGCTTCTTTCTAAAAAGAGTATTCTTTCCATGGGACCATACTGAAATTTACGCTTCAGTATAACTGTAATGAACACATTTCCATTTTACTTTAGTAAGTCATTTGCTTTCACTGGTTTCTTTTTAAAATTAATTCTAATTTAATCCTATAGGTTAATGAAGAGAAAAATTGTGTGGAATATAAAATTATTAACATTCTAAGAAGGATACCTACCTCAGGCCCTGTGATGTGCATCAGACCAGAAATAGCAGAGGCAATGGCATCATAACCAGCTCTTTGAGACATGGGGCCTGTCTGACCATAACCTAAGACAAGAAGAATAGACATGATCAGCACCATGCAGGGTGCACTATAACCATTTCACAATAGTGTGTTGAAACTATTTGTTTCCAGAAATCTTGCAGCATTTTGTTCCTACTTAGATCTATTCAATCCCTTAAAGGAGACACCAAGAATTCATTACAGTGTTCTACCCCAGAAAGTCAAAAACTGCTGATCCCACCTGCATAAGTGTTTTTTTTGGCCTGAAAACATCTTAAAATAATTTTATTTAGTTGCCAACAATTAAAAGTCAAGAGATAACACAAAAAATGCAAACTCTGGTTTTTGTTGAAAAATTAGAAAATAAATTCAAAGATAGGCTTAAATTTTTACATGACAACAAAACTTTTTTTCTTTTCTTTTTTCTTTTTTTTATTAATGCATTATAGTTATACATAATATTGGGATTAATTTTGACATAATTATACAATCATGGAAGTAATTTGCTCCAATTCAGTCCCCAATACTTCCTCTTTCCTTCCCCTCCTCCCGTCCCCTGTCCCCTTTCCTCTATTCTACTGGTATTTCTTCTATGTATTTATGGGGTTTTTTAATTAGCATTATAGACATACAGAAAGGTAAAATTTACTGTGGTATATTCATATTCATATTCATATGTACATAGGTCAGTTTCATTCCACTATTCCTCCTTTTCCAGTCTCTCCTCCCTCTCCCTCAATTCCCTTCCTTTCTTCCACTGATCTCTCTTTATGGTGTGTCCTTCCCATACCCTTTTTATTTTTTTCTTATTTTGGTCTAGCTTTCACATATGAGAGAAAACATTTGACTCTTGACTTTTGAGTCTGGCTTATTTCACAAAGCATGATGCTCTCCAGTTCCATCCATTTACCAGCAAATGCCATAATCATACTCACAATAACCTAAAAAAAAGTACTTGGGAATAAATCTAATCAAGGAGATGAAAGACCTCTACAATAAAAACTAGAGAACAGTGAAGAAATGAATTGAAGAGGACACATGAAGTTGGAAAGAACCCCCACCCACATTCTTAGATTGGCAGAATTAATATTATCAAAACGGTATTACACAGATTGAATGCATTCCCCATCAAAATACCAACGGCATTCTTCACAGAATTAGAAAAAAAACAGTTCTAAAATTAATTTGAAAGAATAAGAGACCCAGAATAGCCAAAGCAATCCTAGGCAAGAAGAATAATGCTAGAGGCATCACCATACTGGACCTCAAATATACTACAGAGTTATGAAAAGAAAAAAAAATCAGCATGGAACTGGCATCAAAATAGAAATGAAGACCAATGAAATAGAACAGAAGACACAGCGACAAAGACACCTTGATACAGTCATCTGATACTCAACAAAGATGCCAAAAACAAACATTGGACAAATGATAGCCTTTTTTAACAAATGGTGCTGGGGATCCTGGATATCCATATGTAGAGGAATGAAAACAATCCCTATCTCTCACCTCACACAAAATTCAACTCAAAGTGGATCCAAGATCTAGGATCCACTAGGAATTAGATCAGAAACTCTGCAACTGCCAGATAAAATGTAGGTTAACTCTCTAATATATTGTTAAGGAACCAACTTCCTTAACAACACTCCTAAAGGGCAACAATCTTGAACTAACAGCTCTCCCCTTTGCACAAGATAAGAACACATCAGCCTGCCAGGAGCTCTACCACTCCTTACTCCTGAACTTCTCAACTTGATTCACTCATCTAACTTACCTCCCATGCCCCAGTTGACATTTACAACTCTTGATCTGCACATGACAATATACAAACAAGCAAAGCAGTGTCTCCATAGATTCTTATATTTTCTCAAGTATGAAAAGAAAACATAAATAACAAATTGAGAAATTGGACATTAAAAGCCTTAATGCTAAAACCCAAGGCCAACACCATTCTAAATGGAGAAAAATTGAAAGCATTCCCTCTAAAAACAGGAACAAGACAAGGATGCCCTCTTTTACCACTTCTATTCAACATTGTCCTTTAAATTCTAGCCAGACCAATTAAGCAAAAGAAGTAAATTAAACGGATATGAATAGGAAAAGAACAGCTCAAAGTATTCCTATTTGCCCACAACATGATTCTATATTTAGAAGACCCAGAAACTCCAACAGAAAACTTCTAGAACTCATAAATGAATTCATCAAAGTAGCAGGATATAAAAATAACACCAATAAATCAACTGTGTTCCTATACAGCAATGATGAATCAGCTGAAAAAAATTAGAAAAACTATCCCATTCACAGTAGCCTCAAAAAAAGTAAAATACTCTGGATTCAAACTAATGAAAAAGGTGAAAGAAGTCTATAATCCAAACTGTAGAACACTACAGAAAGAAACTAAAGAAGACCTTAAAAAATGGAAAGATGGATCCTCAGAGTTAATATCATCAAAATGGCCATACTACCAAAAGAATTATACAGATTTAATGTAACTCCTATTAAAATTCCAGTGATGTTCTTCATTAAAATAGAAAAGACAGTCATGAAATTCATTTGGAAATATAAGAGGCCCAGAATAGCCAAAGCAATCTTTAGCATGAAAAATAAAGCAGGAGGCATCACAATACCAGACTTTAAATTATATTACAGGGCTATAGTAACAAAAACAGCATGACATTGGCACAAAAAACAGGCATAAAGACCAATAGAACAGAATGGAAGACACAGAGACAAACCCACATAAATATAGTTATAGCATAACAGACAAAAGCAACACAAACACACACTGGAGAAAAGATAGCTTCTTCAACAAAATGGTGCTGGGAAAAATGGAAATCCAGATGTAGTAGAATGAACTTGAACCCCTATCTTTCACCCTACACAAAACTCAACTCAAACTGGATGAAGGACATATGCATTAGACCAGAGACCTTTTGTCTGCTAAAAAAAAATGTAGGCCTAACACTCCATCATGTAGGCTTAGGAACCTAATTTCTCAACAAGACTCCTAAAGCACAAGAAGTAAAATCAAGAATCAGTGAATGGGATGGTATCAAACTAAAAAACTTCTTCACAGCAAACGAAACAATCAAGAATATGAGAGAGCCTACAGAGTGGGAGAAAAATCTTTGCCACCTGCATCTCCAACAGAGCACTAATCTCTAGGATATATAAAACAAAAATTCAAAAAAGTTAACACCAAAAAAAAATAAAATAAATCAATAAATAGGCTAAGGAACTGAGCATGTACTTCACAGAAGAAGAAATGCAAATGGTCAACAAATATATTAAAATATGTTCAACATGTCTAGCGATTAGAGAAATGCAAATTAAAACTACACTGAGATTCCATCTCTAGTCAGAATGGCAATTATCAAGAATACAAGCAACAATAAATGTTGGTAAGGATGTGGGGGGAAACGTACACTCATACATTGCTGGTGGGACTGCAAATTGATGCAACCACTATGGAAAGCATTTCAGAAAACCTGAAATGGAACCACCATTTGACCCAGCTATCCCACTCCTCGGTTTATACCCAAAGGACATAAAATCAGCATATTATAGTGACACAGACATGTCAATGTTTACAGCAGCTCAATTCATAATAGCTAAGCTATGGAACCAACTTAGGTGCCCTTCAACAGATGGATGAATGAATAAAGAAAATGTGGTACACATACACAATGGAATATTATTCAGGCAAAAGAAGAATGAAATTATGGTATTTGCTGGTAAATGGATGGAACCGGAGACTATCATGTAAGTGAAATAAGCCAAACCCAAAAAACAAAAGCCAAATGTTCTCTCTGTAGATGCTGACGCACAATGGTGGGGATGGAGGGGAAGGAGTAGAAGTTCATTGGATTAGACAAAGGAAATGAAGGAAAAGGAGGGTAATGGGAATAGAAAAGACCATAGAATGAATCTGACATAACTTTCCTATGCTCATATATGAATACCCATGAAATGCCACATCATTTTCAACCATAAAAACGGGATCCTTATTAGAATAAGTTATACTCCATGTATGTATATCAAAATATACTCTACTGCCATGTATATCTAGAAAGAACAAAATAAAAATTTTTTAAAGTGAAAAAACAGTAATTGGACATAAATAAAACAATTACATTTTCTAACAGTGCTTTTTAAGGTGTCACATTTTTTTTTCTTCCTTCCATCTTTCCTTCCTTCTTCCCATCCTTCCTTTCTTCCTTCCTTCTGAGGGGTGAGGGGGCATCAGCAAGAATCATGAGAACGTAAGAATTCTTTTCTCCTGCTCTCCTCAGTCTTGGTATTTATTGCTAAGTAACAAAAATTATGTCAGGTGCTATATGAGTCTGTCTCCAAATCCATCAACCAGAGAGGGAATAAACTGCCTTCTATACCCATTATTCCCTGTTCTAGAAGTTTCAGAAAGAGTTCCCTGAGGCCTTGCTTCACTTGCCACCTGAAATGTTCCCTCCACCTCACTCCCTGGCATCCTGCAGGCCTCTATTCAAATGTCTCTTACCAGAGAGACTGCCCTGATGACCTTTTATAAGAGCACCTTCACTTTGCACTTTCAATTCCTCTTACCCAATTATATTTGTCTTCATAGTCCTTATCATATATATATATATATATATATATATATATATATATATATATGATATATATATACATAATCTACTTATACATTTATTGATTTATGTTGTCTATTTGAATCACGGCTGTATCCTCAGTATCTAGGACAGTGTTCAATAACATTTATTGAATAAGAATAAATGAATACTTGTTACTCAAAATTTTTTTAAAAAAAACTATAAAATATAAGTGAATAAAGTAACTAGAATATGTAAATGACTAATAACCAACTAACCTAACCAGATGCATTTGCTACCAGAAACAGTCTTTGTCAGAAATGTCAGCATGTAAAACAAAAATCCTCAGAAAAAAAATCATCACTTATTATTAATAAATAAAATTGTTTAAGATTAATTCATATTTGTCATTTTTAATGACAGAAAAGACTTCAAAACACATCTCTCCTTATGTTTTA